CAGGGGCATGGGGTGGCAGGTGAGAGCCGGTCTGCACGGGGAACCGATTTTTAAACCAGTTTCTCTCGTGGACCGGCTCCACCTGCCACCCCATGATGCTGCCTCTGTCCCTTTAGTTAAATGGCTATTTCTTTGTCCTAAAGTTTAGTGAGTTTAGTAAATGGGCCTAAGTAAAAAGATAGCTTTGATATTGTGTCAGTGTTAATGAGACTAACAGGATGTTGAAGGCTGAGGCCTTAATTGCTTGATTTACAATGTCTCTTTGTCTTGCCAATGCAGATGTTGACGCTGTGCCGCCTAACCTTGAAAGCCCTTGTAACATTGCTTATGTGTGTGAAAAGGGAATGAATGTGCTGAGATAAGGTGCAAAAGTTATTGCTCAGAACCAGATGGCCAAAGAGGGAGGTTGAGTGTAGGCGAAGACCAGACTACAGACGACCCGCCGTCAAAAATGCATACCCATAATAAGGAGTGATTGGACTATTGGCAGAGTGGCACATTGATGAGCCTTCAAGACAATTGATTACAGGATGAGCCTTCAAGAGATGTTTGGGAATGACTGACATCAATAAGATAACATTCCAGTCACAAGCTGACAGAGTGGAATCCATTGATTTCAACAGAGAAAAGGATTATAAAAGCAGGATGCTTTGCTTTGGAACTTTGGGTTCATCTTGCCACCAACTCCAGAAAAGCATTGGATCGATTGATCGACAAAGGCCCTCTGTGTTCAATCTAGCTGGCCACTAGACTGATACAGAATCTGGACTGGTAACTATGACATCGTCTGGCGGGACTGTGTGTGTGTATGGTGTTTGTGTGTGAATTATTGAATAGCACATGCAACTGTTGTATTCTCAATAAATGCGGCGTACTGCCTTTTCCCCTCTGAAAGATCTCGTGTGCTTCGTTTAAGCAGATAACACCACTTCACCCAGGGCCTGGGGATTCCCTTCCCCTCCCCACCCACAACTTCTCACAGGGCCTGCAGATGCCCTCTCCTCTCCGGCACCACTCCTCTCAGGGCCTGAGGATTCCCTCCCACCCCCCTACTCCCACCCCACTTTCCCACCACCCCGCACTCATGCGGCCTGATACCTGAGCAACACTAGGTAAATCTGTTAGTTACACATATACATTTGGACATATTACAACAAATATTGTTTGCTTGTGCCTAGCTGATCTAGCAAGCCACATCACCCCCTATCAGGGACCTGTCTTCTTCATTATTTCCCACT